GTGTACATTCTGGATAAAGTGAATTTAATTCTGACACCCTATTGGTTTGTACGATTATATTTACTTTTATACTTTAAGTAGTTTTAAAATCGGTACTTTTACTTGAGTTAAAAAGTTTAAGTTGATACTTCTACATCCAAAAAAGTATTTTTAAACCCGAGTATCTATACTTCTACTTAAGTAATGAATGTGAACCCTTTTGACACCTCTGGCTACCATTAAATAATTTAATCCCAACCCAAAGAGGGAACCTGTTCAGGATTTTATTGTGCCCTGACTAAAAAAATAAGCATGTGTGAAGTTGTCAAAAATAATAACTAAAACCTGCCAATATGGGTAACAGGATAAACAGTGATAAAATCAAATTAAGCTCAATTATTTACACAGTTGAGTTGTGTCCTGAATGCTGGGGTACTGAACACACTTTTCAAACTGAACATGATGTAAGCTGTCTGCAATCTGTTGCACTCTGAGGCCCGGACAGAAGAGAACAAGAGGGGAAAAATGTCTGAGAGATCTTTTTGTGATATTTCCGTGTAAATGAGGGTAGTGAGGTCATCTGCCCTCACTGACGTCAGGGCAAACATCCAACACATTCACATTTGTTACTGACTTGGCACACTTTCAGAATATCAAACTAGCGATCTAAAACTTTCAGGACACTGCTGCTGTGACAAATAGGCAACGGTTTTGTTTAAAGTCCCCGTAAAACCCGACTTAAGATTTCATAAACACACACGCGAGCTATCTTGTTAACATCAGGACACGCAGACTGTGTGTATTCTTTCCAACACTGCGTTCCAAAGACTGCGAGAATGACTCACAGAAGCAGACGATGCAGAAAAAACAATTAGCGGTTTGTCATCTGACATTTTCTGGCCCTTATTGCATAAACGAATGTGCTGACTGACTGACTGAGGTGTTAAGAGTTGGGCTGCCACAAATGAACCGGGGGGAGCGGACAGCGACGTGTTTTTGGGTGACTTACCGAGACGGTGGAACTCGGAGGATTGGTTCCATAGCCCGACGATGGGAGGGAAGCCAGAGACCACCTTCGGCCCTCGGCTCTAAGCGAAAGACATGAATATTACATAAGCCTCAGCAGCACAAGCAATACAAGTCCTTACATAAGAGCAAGAAGTAAATGCATTTTCTCCTCAAATACAGATGTGACCCATCATATCGAAATGAGGATTGAGTCAAATTTGGTCAAAATGACCTAATTACATTTTCAGATTCTTGGCTTTAAATGCCATATTTTGATACCTGGATCATTCTGATACTGTAATTAAATCCATAAATATGACTTAATTTGTCTTGTTGGTTACGATAATACATAAATATTTGKTCTGAATCCTAATTTTATGTAATTTTAATGATGAATTTTTGATGTCCTTATAAAGAGGAAACCTCAAATTATATTTGAATATTGARATTTCCCAGCTRAAAAGAAACAAAACTTTGCTAGSTCACAKSGAAAAWYYTMAAAATTTTAAGACATTTTTCCTCAAAATCAGGATTTTTGTTGCTACTGCTCAAAAAAGTGCTTCAAATTTTTGTTTTATGATTATATTTCAGACGGTTCATTCAAACACTACATTGATATGGCATTTATTTGTTATATTTTGGCGAAATGCAATTTTTGCAAACGTGTAAATCAAAACACTATATTTGCCTATTTCTCCATATACCACTTTTAGACTTAATCCTTATTTCCATGTGATGGGTCACATACAATATACGTCTTTTTCATCACTTCAAGCAAAAATCAAGCAGAAAGCTTTATAAAATGATTCCWGCCAGAAAGAAAAAAAAAGGAGTAAAAACTAAAACTCTCAACAGCAAAAGGCATGGTGTGAGAATTAAAAAAAAAAGGGAGCTACCTGTCCGCACGAGCCAAGTGGCTGATATCACGACAGCAAGAAAGAGAGGAGAAAAGCAAAAACAGGGATTCGGTAAGTTGGAGGATTCTTGTGCAAGTGATCCTGTGACCTGTGGCATTCAGCTGAGGGATTAGTACTGACAACGCACTCTCCCTTGCCAGTTCTCATTTGTCCAAATAAAAAGCAAACGAGAATGAACAAAATTAATTTGAGGATAGGTTTTACATAACTGAAAGCATTTCACTTTGAAGAACTTGTAAGGTGAAAGTTTATAGAGATATTTGATTTTTTTCCCCCGTTTGATTTGGTTTTGAAGGCATGCAGTATTTAAGGTAAATATTATGTGCGTTTCAAACTAAACTATTTATGCTTATGTCTTTTTTGCCTTTAGTATTTGTACATGAAACAGTTCAAGCTGCTCACTTAAAATGGGGCCGTGTTGTCCATTTATACTAGATTTTATTTTTTGTATCAATTTTTTTGTTTTTATTTTTATTCTAGATTTTAAATTAGGTTTTAGGCATTTTATTGTTTTTTTTATTCCTCGTTTTTACTTTGTGTTTTATTACCTGCTTTTATTTTTCTGTGGTTTTTATTCCTATTTTAATTGTGATTGAGTTTGTTTTTGTATGAGCTGTGTTGGAATGCTGATTCTGTACAACACTTTGGTCTATTATGGCGCAAAAAGTGCTTTACAAATAAAGTTGGTTTGGATTGGAAAATACTTTTCATACAAGAAGATGTTAAATCAAACTATTAGAGGATTAAATGTTTATCTATTTTTCTTTCAGTTCTGTTATTTTTCCACTTATGCCAGCCTATCTAGTCTCAGACAGGTTGAAGGCTAAGCACCTAAACCTCTCATCAGTTTTTAATGCTTCTTCTAGAGTTTCTTCGAGGTGCCGTTTTACTTTTAGGCTTCGTCTGCCTGCAGCAAGACAAGCCTGTTACCATGGGAACCTTATTGAATGATGTGGGTGGGGGTTTCAGGGGTACCCTCCATCCGACTGCGCTCACCCTGTTGAGGGGGAGTCAGCTGTAAGAGGAGCCGGCAGAGAGGGGAAGGTGTGAACGCTGCGGGCTGAGTCAGCCTCAGTTATCACGCTGCCGTTCCTCCTCCTCCTCCTCCTCCTGTCTCACAGTCTGTCTCTGTCCCAGAACACACACTGAATCCTACAGGAAACCCTCAGGGTGACAAAGGTTTGCATCTAGTTTGGTTTTTATTATTATTTTAACTCGTCCTTTATTTATATTGCCAAATTGCACTGAGATGCAGATTAATAAATTTGATAGTAGAAACGGTTTGGAAATATGTTGCAAAAAACTGATTTTTAGGCCGACTAAGGTTTCATCTGCATTAACAATGAAAAAGGAAACTAATTTTAAAGAAATACAAAATAATTTGTGCATATTAATAAATTACAAATATATGRAATTAAAATAATAAACTCCTTTGGTCAAACTGGTTCCATCAAAAACAAGTTTAATCAAATTTAATATTCCAGAACCTTTAGCTGCAACCAAATTGGTTCATCACCCGAGGGGTAAAGAGGCTTTAAAAAGAGATGACACACCTTCGAGCAAATGGGAAGTTGAGGCAGGCACCGGCTGACACATTGCGAGGGCTGTCCAGAGGGCTGCTCACAGCTGGGAAAAGGAATTACAGAGTTAGGAACAGTGCGATTTACAGCTTTAAAGTGTTCCATGATTAGTTGTAACGTTAGACTTTATTTGATAAACATATATTTTAACAGTAAAATAAAGACTGTAAAAACACTGTAGG